AAATATAAATATATAAGATACCCATATGTAAGCTAGAGAGAGTCTGTCACTCTGTGTGTATAAGTGCAAAAGTGGGGGACTACCTTTATATATAGGAGTGTCTGCTAATGCCTGTTTGTGAATATGGCCCACCAGCCTGCAGTGGTGTGTGTGTGAGCATGTGTACATGTATATATATATATATGGATGGATATATGTATCTCTGTGTGTATATATATATGTGGCTATGTATACACACCCCATAGTGTCCGTGAGACTGTGTATCTGTGTATGTATATATATATAATTCTGTATACACACACACAGGTATACACACGTGTATACACACACACACACACACACTTCCACACACAGTTTTTGCGTGCGTAGATGTATATAAACACCACAGGATGTGTGTGTATCTATTAGAAAAAACAGTGACCGTTTGTGTGTGTGTCTATAACATCAGCAGTATTTGTGTGTGTATAAATACAGCTGTGCTTGTTAGTGTGTTTGTGTACATATCAGACACGTGACAGGGTGTGTGCAAGAACCAGTGACTGCTTGGCTGTGAATATAGATATAAACACACAAACAGCTGTGTGTGCACATGTGCATACAGGGAGTCTGTGTGTATCTAGATACACATACCTGTGTGCACACGGAGGAGTCAGAGTGTGTGTGCACACATCCTGGTGTGCATATGTGTATCCTGGTGCGTGTACTCACATGTCCCAGTGCGAGAACACACGTCCCACTGCACACACAAATGTCCCACTGCACACACGTGTCCCGCCGCACACACACCTGTCCCGCTGCACACACACACGTGTCCCGCTGCACACACACCTGTCCCGCTGCACACACACACCTGTCCCGCTGCACACACACGTCCCGCTGCACACACACGTGTCCCGCTGCACCCCAGGGTGTCCCCAGCACCACGTCACCAGGGTTTGCACCCCAGGGTGTCCCCAGCACCACGTCACCAGGGTTTGCACCCCAGGGTGTCCCCAGCACCACGTCACCAGGGTTTGCACCCCAGGGTGTCCCCAGCACCACGTCACCAGGGTTTGCACCCCAGGGTGTCCCCAGCACCACGTCACCAGGGTTTGCACCCCAGGGTGTCCCCAGCACCACGTCACCAGGGTTTGCACCCCAGGGTGTCCCCAGCACCACGTCACCAGGGTTTGCACCCCAGGGTGTCCCCAGCACCACGTCACCAGGGTTTGCACCCCAGGGTGTCCCCAGCACCACGTCACCAGGGTTTGCACCCCAGGGTGTCCCCAGCACCACGTCACCAGGGTTTGCACCCCAGGGTGTCCCCAGCACCACGTCACCAGGGTTTGCACCCCAGGGTGTCCCCAGCACCACGTCACCAGGGTTTGCACCCCAGGGTGTCCCCAGCACCACGTCACCAGGGTTTGCACCCCAGGGTGTCCCCAGCACCACGTCACCAGGGTTTGCACCCCAGGGTGTCCCCAGCACCACGTCACCAGGGTTTGCACCCCAGGGTGTCCCCAGCACCACGTCACCAGGGTTTGCACCCCAGGGTGTCCCCAGCACCACGTCACCAGGGTTTGCACCCCAGGGTGTCCCCAGCACCACGTCACCAGGGTTTGCACCCCAGGGTGTCCCCAGCACCACGTCACCAGGGTTTGCACCCCAGGGTGTCCCCAGCACCACGTCACCAGGGTTTGCACCCCAGGGTGTCCCCAGCACCACGTCACCAGGGTTTGCACCCCAGGGTGTCCCCAGCACCACGTCACCAGGGTTTGCACCCCAGGGTGTCCCCAGCACCACGTCACCAGGGTTTGCACCCCAGGGTGTCCCCAGCACCACGTCACCAGGGTTTGCACCCCAGGGTGTCCCCAGCACCACGTCACCAGGGTTTGCACCCCAGGGTGTCCCCAGCACCACGTCACCAGGGTTTGCACCCCAGGGTGTCCCCAGCACCACGTCACCAGGGTTTGCACCCCAGGGTGTCCCCAGCACCACGTCACCAGGGTTTGCACCCCAGGGTGTCCCCAGCACCACGTCACCAGGGTTTGCACCCCAGGGTGTCCCCAGCACCACGTCACCAGGGTTTGCACCCCAGGGTGTCCCCAGCACCACGTCACCAGGGTTTGCACCCCAGGGTGTCCCCAGCACCACGTCACCAGGGTTTGCACCCCAGGGTGTCCCCAGCACCACGTCACCAGGGTTTGCACCCCAGGGTGTCCCCAGCACCACGTCACCAGGGTTTGCACCCCAGGGTGTCCCCAGCACCACGTCACCAGGGTTTGCACCCCAGGGTGTCCCCAGCACCACGTCACCAGGGTTTGCACCCCAGGGTGTCCCCAGCACCACGTCACCAGGGTTTGCACCCCAGGGTGTCCCCAGCACCACGTCACCAGGGTTTGCACCCCAGGGTGTCCCCAGCACCACGTCACCAGGGTTTGCACCCCAGGGTGTCCCCAGCACCACGTCACCAGGGTTTGCACCCCAGGGTGTCCCCAGCACCACGTCACCAGGGTTTGCACCCCAGGGTGTCCCCAGCACCACGTCACCAGGGTTTGCACCCCAGGGTGTCCCCAGCACCACGTCACCAGGGTTTGCACCCCAGGGTGTCCCCAGCACCACGTCACCAGGGTTTGCACCCCAGGGTGTCCCCAGCACCACGTCACCAGGGTTTGCACCCCAGGGTGTCCCCAGCACCACGTCACCAGGGTTTGCACCCCAGGGTGTCCCCAGCACCACGTCACCAGGGTTTGCACCCCAGGGTGTCCCCAGCACCACGTCACCAGGGTTTGCACCCCAGGGTGTCCCCAGCACCACGTCACCAGGGTTTGCACCCCAGGGTGTCCCCAGCACCACGTCACCAGGGTTTGCACCCCAGGGTGTCCCCAGCACCACGTCACCAGGGTTTGCACCCCAGGGTGTCCCCAGCACCACGTCACCAGGGTTTGCACCCCAGGGTGTCCCCAGCACCACGTCACCAGGGTTTGCACCCCAGGGTGTCCCCAGCACCACGTCACCAGGGTTTGTCCCAGCACCATGCCATGGGGGTTTGCTTGCCCCACCAAGGAGCCACCCCCAGCCCCTGCCCTTGCTGCCACTGGTAAAGGACACCAAGGTCCTTCAGTTCTGCCCAGGGGACCTGGCAGCCCTGGAGGTGACACATCCCAGGGGGACATGGTCACTGCTGGTTGGAAGGCACAGAGCAGGCAGAGCTGCTGCCAGGGCTGCTGCAGCCTCCAGAAAGGTGCCATCAAACACGTGCTACCAAAGCAGAGCAAACCCCCACCGAGGGTGAGGAGGGGCCTTCAGCACCCCCAGCTCCCACCCCCTGTCCTGGGTGGGGGTCTGGCTGCAAGGAGCCCTGAGACCCAGGGCTGGGAGTGATGCAGGGCTGGGCAGGAGCAGGCACATCGTGCCTGCCTCATCTCCCAGGCCCATGCTGGAAGTTTTCTTCTGAGCTTTTCTGCTTTTTGCAGCCACAGGACAAATCTCCTGTTTCCTCAGCACAATCTTCTTGCCCTCTCAAAATTTTTCACCTTTTCTCAAGTTTTCTGCTGAGTGAGGCTCTTCCTTTCTTAGTGATTAAAAAAGAACATTCCCCAAATACGATTTTTAGTTTTATTTTTTTTTCAATTCTGCAGAATAAAATCAGTTTTCTGTCACCAGATGCAGAGGGAAGGAAAGCACAGGTGCAGTTCAGAGGAGGAAACACTCCAGAGGTTGTCACCAACCCCACTGCCTGCCAGCTGGGTGCTGGGCAGGAGGGGCTGCTGAAGGACCCTGCCACGCTGTGTGTGCATCCTCTGAGCACAGGGATGCTCAGACCCCAAACTCTCTGGCTGAGGTGATTTTGCAGAAGTCAGTGCATGCTCTTAGCTCTGCAAAAACACTGGGAAGATGCAGGCACAGGTGGGCAGACATGGACAGACATGGGCAGACATGGACAGACAGCCCCACTCCCCTGGGCTCTGCACCTCCATCCTGCCTCCCTCCTTTGAGGGGGCTGAGCACTGTGCAGTTGTGTCACTTGTGGCCTCAGCCCTGGGCAGAGCATCAGCCCCCAGAGCAGGGCTCCCCATCACTGCACCCTCCTTCCCTTCCCACTCCTCTACCAGCCCAGAGGAGGGGAAAAACACCTTTCTTCCCCCAAAGAGAATGCTTCTCCAGCCAGGAACGGGGCTGTTTGCACCCTCTGTGTCCCCCCAACATACCCAGTGATTTTGACTGAGTGGGTCCCGTGTCTTTGGTGCTTTGGCCCCTTCCCCTCGGCCACCGGCGTGTGCCGATAGATCCCGCTCTTGTACATGAAGAAATCCTCATGCACCTCCAGGATGGCTGCAGGCAGGGGAAGAGGGGCTGGGGACACTGGCCCTGTCCCCATGGACAGGCCTCCAGGTCCCCCAGGGTGGAGGATATGGGAACCAGGGAGATGGGGCACTGCCCAGGAGGAGGAGAGGCAGGAGCTGGATCCTCCCTTGGGCAGTGTGACAAGACTTGGAGGAGGATTTAAAAGAAAAATAAAAAAAAGACTAATAAAGTAAACCAAAAGCAGCTGCTGAGACGGTGATTAAAGCTCAGGAGTTAATGAGCAACAAGTGCCTGCTGGTGTGGGCAGCGTGACGGGCACCCTGGGGCCAGGAGAGCACAGGCTAAACATTAAACAGGGAGAGCAGCTGGGGGGGGGATCCTGGAGAGCAGCTGGAGGGGGGGGGTCCTGGTCCCCACCCACCTCAGCCATTGCAGTACCCAGTTTTGGGG